AGGTTCTGTATTACTCAACCATAGGATGTCAATCCTACAGACCACCAGTCTAATGAATTGTTCCCAAACCCTCATCCAGGGATTAGGTTTGGCAGTTAATTATGCTTTTTCCCTGACCAATCATTTAACTGCAGATAAATAGATACTTGCCTTATCTGCAAGATGAATATATTCCCTTTTCCCATCCTTTGGTTTGCTTTATGTATATAATGTAGTCCTCACCATTCATCAATGATCAGAAACTGATCTTCAGTAGCTTTGTATTGTATAATAAATTATGAAAGGGAAGAATAAAATGAAAAACTGAAAGAAATTTGCCATAGGCATTCCTTATGGGTTTTTTGGATATCATGGGTGCTTTTACTTTGTGTTCTTTTAGTGGTTATTTGCATGACCTTTTTACTTAGCATCTTCCTAGAGGTAAAGTATTTTAAATCCCACCTTTTAGGTTTTTTGCCTTTGAAGTTTGAATATTACTAAAATCAACAGTAGCCACCCCTCTACTGAGAGTATAAATAAAGAAAAAACTTAAAAAGGCTTAGTTTGGAAAGAGTACAAATGCAAATATTTACAGTGCAAATACATACAAAATAATACAAAATATGAGGTTTTGCTTTCTACATATTTGCATTTGTACTCCTTCCAAACTGAGCCAAAAGGAAATATAACAAAGATAAACAAAACAAATCTAAGACTAAGATGAACGCCACCAATCTATATTCATTACCCAAACCCTCATTTCTCTTTCTTCCTGGATAAGCGAAAGATCAATTGTGAATATCATTTAGATAATTGTGAATGAATACCAAGATCTATGAATTTGCTTGTATTAAATCTAAGTCCCACATAGTGGCTTAGGGATGGAATTTTTTTTTTGATCGATAACAAAAATTTTATTAATGATATCTTTGGGATGGCAATTTTCCCCATCCATGTTGGGTACTTGACTGTTGACTCCCCCGATCAGATAGGGTCAGGGATGGGGAATGAAATCTCCATCCCGCCCCGACTCTGATTATATATATTATTTATTATATATATATATCAAATATGTTTAAAATATTGTTTATATATAAAAAAATCTTTTATTTTAAGTAAATTTATTTTTTAAAAATTATGTTAATTAAAAAATTTTGAAGATTTGGGTCCCTGCAGGAAACCCGCCTCCATTGGAGATCGGAGATGGAAAACAATTTTTATCTCCGACAGAGATCAGGGTCAGGAACGGGGATTTATCTCTAAATTGGGGTCGCCTGCCCAGTTGCAATTCCTACTTTGACTTCTACGAACTGCATCTCGTTTAGTGGGGCAAATAAGGAAAAAACAAAGGATATCTCGTTTAATGAGTCCAAAAAAAAAAAAAGAATCTCGTTTAATGGGAAAACGAGTTTGGTATATTATTCAGCTGGCTCCCTAGATAAGAGTGATTTTTGCAGGTTTCTCTTGTATGATACCTGTTGATTGCATATCAACTTTTATGTATCATGCCTACCCGGGTATCATAGTGGGAAACCAGAGTCCAATACAAAATTATAGATGGATTCACAGGTCTGTCCTTGTCAGTATCAACACCCCAAATTAGGTTGCAATTGAAAGCTTTCTAAATCTTAAAAGTGAGTTCACCAAACAACCCCATTAACAAACCCACGGGCCAAAACCCATGTCATTGTGCCCGTTTGGGAGGGCTTAAGTGCAGAGATTTGTTGCCCAATGGGTGGAACCCACACAACCTTATAATCTATTCTAAGTGAAAAATCGGAGAGCCAAATCGGCTGTGGATCAGTCAGTAGTAGGGCTTTCCACTTCAGCTTCTTTGAGTGGCTTATCCCCAACTCCTTGTCAATATTCTGACATTTATGCAATTGAACCAAAACAGCTTATTCAACGCAGCTGAACCAGCTTAACTGAAACAAAGCTTATCTTCAGCTCAGCCCTCCTAAATGGTCCCCCTATATTTATAACCAAGGTTTAAAGTATCGGAAACGTTATGCGTATCGGAAGGGTAAATTTAAGAGACATATCGGGATACACCTTGGATATGCATGGATATGGACGAAAAATTAAGATATGCATGAAAACACATGGAAATGCTATAAATACTCTAATAAATCATAAATAAACATCAATATAACTAAATATAAGACTTAATTGAGCTATTTATACATAAAAATAACGTGTTTTAATGGGTTTTTTTTTATAAAAAACATATTATAATCAACAAACGAGAACAAAAACATACTATTTAATAAAATACTTAATTCAATTCCAATCTTCCAAGTTCCAACTTCAAATTTTAAATCTATTATAATTTACAAATTAAACATTTGAATCCCATTATATGTTTAGAAGTTAAAATTTACATGAAGTCATGAATCACATAAAAGTTCAATTACTATATAAATTATCCATTTTAAGTGTTAATGTGTTAGTAAATTAATTTCCAATTGTTATTATGAAAATTCTTATTTTTTTAGATATTTTTCAATTATTATCTAATACAAATATCCAATTAAAATAATAATAACTGTTTTCATATTTTTGAGGCGACAATTATATTCACATTCAATTTATAGATTATCATGTGAAATATATCAATGACTTTTTATTTTGTATTTTTTAAATATTACTAAAAAATCTTTTCAATTGTTTTAAACATTTTTCCAAGTGTTATCTAATCCATTTAAGCAATTAACAATCATTTAATCAAATAGTAATGTAAAATTTGTAATTATTGAATCAAATATTTTTCTGTATTTTTTAAATAACTATTTATTTTTACTCAAATAATTATTTTGCATGTTTTATTCTAAAAATTAAACAAATATTTTTTTGAATGGCTTCATTGACATTTATTTTTATTCTAAATTTAATAATTATTTTGCATGTTTTATTCTAAAAACTAAATAATTATTTATTTTTATTAAAATAATTATTTTTCATGTTTTATTCTAAAAATAAAATTAAATAAAAAAAAGTAAATATGTAACAGAAAATTTGAATGAATTTATGGACATAAATAGATGAAATACTTATTTTGCATATTTCATTCTAAAAACTAAATAATTATTTATTTTTATTGAAATAATTATTTTGCAAGTTTTATTCTAAAAATTAAATTAAAATTTAACAAGTAAATATGTAACAGAAAAATTGAATGGGTTTATGAACATAATAGATCATCCATATATTTATTGTAAATATTTATTATTAGAATTTTCATATGTAAATATTATAAATAAATATTTATAATCTAAAAATAAAAATAAAAAACAAATTAAAATTTTCATATGATATTTCAATATATTGATACCATTCTTAGCTCTACAACATACTCAACCTATAGGGTTAGATCACAAAAAACTGAAGAAATGATCTATATATTATATATTATTCTTAAAATTAAAAAATAAAAAATCAATTATTTAGAAGAAATTTAAATTGATCTATGGACATGATAAATCATCCATAGATCTACAACATAATCAATATTTAGAGGTAGATCACAAAAAAATCCCCTAAAGTTTTCATTTCTTTCAGATTTTTAATATTCTAGAAAATTTTCAAATATTCACAAAGATCTACATATAGGAGCAAAATAAATGGGATTTTTTGCACAAGAATAACATATCAACACACACAGATGTTTCTAAGCATCAAAACTAAAAAAACACAAAAACATCAGCTGAGATTGTAAAAAAATTGAAAAAAGATACATATTTTCGCTCATTTTTTAACAATTTTGAAAAACTTGTTCGATCTTGGAAATTTGTGGATGTTTTGGCGTGTTTTGGCTAGATTTCAATCTCCAAGAATGGTATGACGGTTTCTAGAGGGTTTAGGGAAGAAAGAGGGCTTCTAAAATGGATTTAGAAGCCTTCTTTCGAATGATTTTTTTTTTGATTTTCCGCAACAATAAAATCGCACTGTATCGGCCAATACGCTACCATATCGGTTGCGTATCGGCCGATACAGCACCAAAATAGGCCGATACTCACCGAAACATTACCGATATGATTCCGGAATGGCAAAAAGGAACGATACTAAAGATTTGGTACCGTTCCCCATGTCAGAACTTCAAAGATACGATACGTAACGAAATTTTGAACCTTGTTTATAACATCTCAAAGTCGTGACTTGTGAGTGTGCTCCTTGACTTCTACTGCTATATTATCTTTATTTAAGTATTTCAATTTTCATCACATTTTTACGCTCCAAAGGCCCAATTTATGCCAAAGTAGCCTCTAGTAGGGCTGTTCACGAGTTAGATTGGGTYGGTTTACTGTTGTTTTTCCAATCGACCCGACCTGGTTGGGTTGCTTGAAAATGAAACTGAAACCGACCCTGTGTTAGGCAAAACCAACTTGGTTAGTTTGAGTTGGTTTGGGTCGGTTTGAGTGCTTGAGTCGAGGGGCTAAGGGAGTAAGGGCAGATCAAGTTAGAAGTTACCAAGAAAAGAGAAAGTCAAATTGTATTAGAAAAAGAAGACTGAAATTTGGAATTTTTAAGAAGGCTTCTAATCTAAGTAAAAAAGACACCTAATTGTAATTATCTATTTGGTATAAAGGACCTTAGCGGATAGAACCCTTTCTTTAAACCTTCCTAAAAAATGCAAGAAGCTATTAATGGCATTCACTGTCTTACAATGCTTGCCATTAATGACATTCTTAAAGAGAAGACTAAAAAGTAGAAACTAAGTTAGGTACTAACTACTAAGTACTAACTAGGAACTAAATCAGTTCGGGTCGGTTCGGTTTCGATTTTCATGTGTGAAAACCAAAACTGAACTGACCTATCAGTTTATGCTTTTTAGTAACCCAAAACCAACCGTCGCTAAAGAAAACCTGACCGACTCGGGTTGAGTCAGACCGGGTTGGTCGGTTTGGGTCTTCTTATGAACAGCCCTAGCCTCTGGAACCAAGTTCAACAATCCATGGATATGAGTGATTTTACTCTACTGAAAATATAATCAGGAAACACTAACAGCAGCACTGAGCAAGGAATAAAAGAATGAAAGACTAGCAGAATTTTTAATTTTCTAAATTAAAACTCGAGCAAATTACAGAGCTAAACCTGCTCCTGTGGTTAAACAATGTAATGTGTAGTGAGATTGTAGGAAGAATGCAAATAAACAAAAAATAGAAATAAGATGTTATACAAAAGAGAGCGATTCAAAAGACGTAGAATGATGGAATATTGAACATGAAATGAGTTCCTTTCCAATTTACAGGGTATCTGAGTACAGTGCCCATTCCTTTCTTCCTGAGACCCATGTGCAAGTCTAATGGAAAGCTGCAACTTCTTCCTTGAAGTGTGTTAATAATTCCTCAATACTTTTCACTGAATGGTCTGACTTGTCTCTAACCCGCACACTCACCTACACAACAGAAAATTTGTTAAGCAGAAACCTGAAATTATCTTATCACTTCAAAAGTGGATTTGACTGATTGCAAATCTAGAAATTCTAGGTCTTTTATTCTGTCAAATTCATTGCCCAGGCACCTAATAGAGAAGGTACTACTACCCTGCCACCTAGTCATGTGCATAGGTGCCTTGACAACAAAGGTGCATAGTATATATCATCAGATTGAGCTTCTTTAAAGTCCTAAGAGATCTACAAAGTTTCGAACTGAACAAGGTGTATTTGCCTTTACTGTGGAAGACATCAGCCCAATTATCAAAAATGGAACGTATATCAAGAATGAGTTCTGAAAGGAGAAAATAAGGGAAAGAAACTAGGAGTCAAAGAACAAAAAAAATGGGGGGGGGGGTGAGTTGGGGAAGAGATCCTTCCTAGTCTGACAGTATAGTATACCACAGGACCCAAGCAGACTAAAAGAAATTTTGTTGATGCATAAGCTATCATGATTTGAATAAACCAAAAAAATAGAAAATGGATAGCCAAGTATACATAAGCTATCATGATTTGAATAAATCAACATGATTAAAGGCTATAAAGAATATGAAGGAAACCTGTCCGGTGTTTGCTTCCTCCTCACCAACTACCAATATATAGTTGTATTGTGCCAACTGTGCTTCTCGTACCTACAGAGAGCCAAGTACACTTCAATGAGTTGCAGCACCAGTAGAAAGATGAAAGCCATCTTGAACCAATTACAGAATAATGCCAAACAGAATGGTGGTGATTCAGGCACATCCTTGCTATAAAAAGATACTACAAATCACAAAAGAAGTATATTGAGTTTCTGAACGCAGAATGCATTACAGAAAGTTCATTAGTAGGTCATGAATTCATGATCCTCCAAAAGTGAAACACTTAGCAAGTAATGAGGCCTGGCCTTTGCATTTGACCAAACGAATTATTACAAACAGGCATTCCTTGTCTTGCAAAAGAGTACTTTTTATATGATTTTCAAAAATTAAGTATATTTTAAATATTAGCCTAGTTTATCAAACAGAGGGTGTGTCCAAATGACCACCACCCTAAAGCCAAACTGTATAAAAATTTATCAAATTCCTATAAATCTTGACAAATATATGCCCAATAAGAAAAGCAGTTATCAGTGGTTACGACATCTATGGGTGCTGTCTTGACTCTTGAACCACACATGATGTGGTTGACATCTATCATGACAAGCTTTAAGAATGAAGTCAGAAATAAACTTATTCAAAAGACCCTAAGAGTAGCCCCAATATGTGGCAAAATGATGGAAGTGATCTGTTACAAGTTGAAGAGTCTAGTAGAACTAAGAGCATACCAAAACAGACATGGGTTGAAGTAGTGAAATGAGCATTTATCTAAAAAAAAAGCAGGGAGAAATGATTTATGGGTCCACAAATTAACGATGGATATGACACTGAACAGATTGAAACGAAGGAACAGGTTTCATGTAGCCAACCCCATATGGTTGCACCAAGACTTAGTTGAGTTGAGTATTCTGACAAGCCTGATATATAGAATTTTATGCTTTCAGCCCATTATATATCACCCTTTTAATGCACATGAAAAAAAATTTTGATCATATACCAGACATTATAGATTTATTGTCAACATATTCTTAAGCACAAAGGCAAGAGAGAAGCCAATCTTCAGGCCTCGAATAGGTCGCATGATCTCAGACTCAATGAAAGTGGCCTTTCCAGTAGGACCTGAAGTAAGCAGCAACCACTTCTAAAAGATAGGTCCTGAAAGCATTCTCAATCCTTGCAGATGAGGAACACTGCTCTGTTAGAAAAAAGGTTTCTATCCAGATGGAGGGCGAGAGAGGATTCAGAGTAGTAGGAAGATGGAGGTCTGAGGTGTCAATCGAAGCCAAGACATTCAAGTTCGAAGAGGAAAGGACCAAAGGCAAGGATGCACTGAAAATCAGAGAGAATAACAGGGTGACAATGTTGATATCAAAGGAGGCCATAACATGGATGAAAGGCTTCATAGATGGGGCTATCAACTCTGGTAAGGTGAATGGCTGGAAAAACTCCATGTCAGTTCCAGGCAAGAGATATGTAACAGAATTGAAAAGAAACAAGAAGGGGTGGTTCATCACTGTGGTGGAGTTTTTTGGAACAAATGGAAAACAAGTGCTCTGTGTGCCAGAAGGGAGATTGTAGAAAGTGTGGATGGCTTTTGTGAAGGTGCTGCAGTCTTACCTTGTAGCTTCGGAAGATAAGGGAGTGGATGGAGGGAAGGTAACTGGCCAAAAGTTCGAAGACCATGGTCAAAAAACTCAGGAGGCAGCATCGATTGGTACCTCTGGGAGTGTAGAAGTTGTTGGACAGTTTTGTATGCCCTTAGCTTCAATCAGAATGATGTACCTTATGAGTTTATTGTAAATGAACAAAAGTGCATATTTGATTCATGTTCCCTTGGTATGTTTCTGTGTAATACCCTTAAACTGGATACTTAATGAGACTCGTGTTAGTTTAGAATGTTCATAGCCAGT